GGCTCACACACTCAACAATGGAAGCTAAGACTCGATTTTAGGGTTTCTGAATAGGAGAGGCTGAAAGCGAGGCTCACACTTGGGACTTAATGACATTATATACGACTTGAACCCTAGAATTTAGTGTTTGAGTCTGACCACGTACGTTGCATGTACCACTTTGTACGTTGCACGTATGTGCATGCCTCCACGTTTCCTTATGATCCTTCTACGCCCCATTGTAACACTACCCATCAACCTTTTTAAATTAAACTACATAGAAGAAAATGCCTAGGAGTAATCAAAGTATGATTAATTAAATTAAACTACCTAGAGGAAAATGCCTAGGAAGTATTATAAGAGATAAGAAACAAAAAAGATAAAGTTATAGGATAAATACTATAAGAGCAGCTTATCCTAGGAAAACAAAATACAAAGAACAGAAACTCCTTTTAAAGAATTCTAAAACTATTCTAAAAAGTATAAAACCATGAAAACATGTGAACTCATCAACATTATGTTGACGTTTTCAAAATCCATGTATTCTCAAGAAATGAATAGCAGTGGGAGTAGAATGTTGAAGGAAGTCGTCACCTGGTCGATAGAAGCTTTATTTTGTTTGCTTATTGTCTAGTTTGTTGATAGGGAATGTTGGGAATCAAACAATGTAATCCTTTTTCAATAATAAATAAAAGAAGAGTTGTGTTATATTTCTACGTCTCCGCCGCCGGCCAGGGGTGTGACAGGTTTTTCTATTAGGTTTTCGTGTAGAAGTATATTATCATCATCAACCAACATCATCAATTTGTCCCAGTTGATTGTTGATTCATCACCCTCAAATACTATACCAACATCAACACGACCTTACCTTTATACCTAACATTATCCCCTTCTACAAGCACAGTGTAAGAAACATGATTTAGTGTCATAGGTAATAAATTATATATTTGGTTACTTCCAACACCTGAAGACCTATTTCCACCGGAATTATTTTTTCATGCAAATCAGTTAACGCCACTTTCCATAACATGATTAACAACAAAGAATTATGATGTGTTAGAAGACATACTATTAACAAAACTAATAAAATATTTGATATCACTATCGTTAATAATCTATATAACTATGTTTGATCTAGGAGATTGAAAAGACAATCTGATTAGTATGTAACTTGGACTTCGAAGCATCCAATGTAATCAACCCAAAAACGTTGATATCGTTGGTTAAATCTACATCATAACTTATGTAGTCTAGAACAATATAGTGTATAAATATGTCAAACATATTTTAAAATATGCATTTTAAAATATTGGTTATATGATCTCATTTTTTAGTAATAGAAAAACTTTATGTTGTCTAGATATGTAGATTTTTTTTTTCAAATGGGAGCAACAATGACAATAGAATTACCTTATTCTCGTGAATCCATAATGTCCGTAAATTCAAGACTGTATTCCATAATATAATTTTGGGACACCTTCAGAAAAGTCCCAATATTTTGGAAATTTTTTTAATAAAGTCATAATTCTTTTTGAATAGATTAGTCCCGACTATTTAACTTTTTGAATAGAAAAGCCCAAAAATCCGACTAATTTATTAACTTTAGCACTTTTTGACTTGTTCAATAGGTCATGAGACCAAATCGTTAATTTTTCAAAAATAATGAGATTTTTCTTTTGCAAATTTCGTCAAAATTTGTATATAATATATAAACGTATTTTTTACGTATTTATATCTATTTTTACGTATTTATGTATTTTTTAAGTTTTTATATGTATATGTTTACATATATTTTTTTATGTATTTTAAATGTATAAATGTATTTTTTTACGTATTTATATGTATTTTACATATTTTTATGTATTTTTAGTGTTATTTTTTTATTGTATTACGTATTTATATGTATTTTTACGTATTTATGTATTTTTTTTTTGAGTTTTTATATCAATGTTTATGTATTTTTATGTATTTTAAATGTATAAACGTATTTTTTTTACGTATTTATAAGTATTTTTTTAAGTATTTTACATATTTTTATGTAATTTTATGTGTTATTTTTTATGTAATACGTATTCATATGTATTTTTACGTATTTCTTAAGTTTTTTATATAGATGTTTATGTTTTTTTAATGTATTTTGAATGTATAAATGTATTTTTTTACGTATTTATATGTATTTTTTAAGCATTTTACATATGTTTACATATTTTTA